AGAGTACATTATGGGATTTGAAAGTGAACCCTGCCCCAAGTACATCAACCGACAAAATGTAAGTTTAAAAAAATAACCCATAACAAAAGTGGAAGAAAAGGGACGTCCCATCTTGGCAAGCTAATCAGCACACATATTATTCTCTTTAACAATGTGTTGCAGTTAAGCTTGAGCAAAATTCAGCGTATGCCTAAAGCAGCACCATCAATATTAAGTTTAACAAAATTAGCAAAATTTGGAAGTGATTTATCCCAGCAAAACAGAACATGTTGCCTATTAGATGCCTTAGACTGAATAGGAAAAACCAATCAAAATTCAACAGTTTTATCAATAATAAAAGGAAACCATTTAGAATCTTGAAAATTAGAATCCCTACAACTCATCATTACTCTATAACCAAACTCGCCAAATAGCAAACGAAAACAAAGTAGGCCAAGAAATTTTGAAAATACAGGAATCATCCATGCATTTAGAGCTTGCTCTTAACTAACCAATAAAAGAAATAGCATAATGCTTAGGTAATCACACCAGGATGACTTTGTTCTAAATGTTGAGTATGAATATGTTAATTGTTAAAATGGAGAGTTTTTCAAGTCTTAAAGCAAGCAATTTCTCTAGTATAAAAGTTAAGTTTCTTAAATAATTAAAGAGCTTCTTCCAATTAAAATCTCAAATTGAAACCTAGCTACCAACATATTAAGGAGTGCCATCACTAAATTGGAATTTATTTAAAACTTATTAAAAATCTAACAAAATAAATCCAGACTATTGGATATTATATAAATAAGAAAAAAATACTATTCTAAGATGAAGCAAGACCAAAAAACAAAAAGTAGTTTCTCAATAACCATACATAATATTAATTAGTATAAAACAACTCATAAAGTAGCATAAAAGCATCCTATGAATGGGTTCTTTAATTAAGACTCCAAAGTACTAAACCATATAGATTGCTAATAAGTAGATAGATACATAATCAGAAATAAAAAGGAACATAGAAGAAGAGAAGAAACCTTTGAGAGAAGTTCTTTCAACAAATCTTGAACCCATTTTGTTGGATAAATGACCATAGTTAGAAGAAATTTGTTTTGACTTCTCAATCACGTTATTTGTATAACTTTTAATTTCCTTTGCTGCATAAGAAAAATGGAAATGGAATCGATCTATCATGCCTAAGGGCCTGTTTAGCGTAACTTGTAAGAGCTTTTACTTTTTGAGTACTATTATGAGTGATAAGTTTAAATTTTTATTGGAGGAAAATTTAAAAGTTGCTTTAGAGATAGGAAAAAGTGAGTAAAAATTGAGTAAAAAGGGAGTAAAAAGTGAGTAAAAATGGAATTTATGAAAAGTTTAGATTTGAAACTTTTAAACTTTTACTATTTAAGGTCTTTTTAAGGTTAAAAAAAATTTAAAAATGTAAGTTTTTAAGAGGGAAATTTAAACTTATGAAATATAAATAGTAT